AATCTGCTATTTCATCAGAATTTCCATAAATGCCCTATACTGTATGTATGACAAAAGTTCTGCTAACCTTTCTTCAGATATAGTGTGCAAGAGCTGTGCTTCGCTCACAAAAATCCAGATGATTCCATTCACATTTTGTTCTCTCTTAATTAACAAGATTAGGCAATAAATTGTTGTAGTTATCCTTGTAAATACCTATACAGTGAGAAAGAGAATGCTTACAGCAGGAGGTACTCCCCTGGATATACTTCTTAAAAACTGAAATTGCACAACAAGGATTATTTTTCATTTAAATGACAGCAGGGTTCCTCATCTCCTCTGAATGTAACTCAAACATTAAAAACTTGAGTTTAGCTTTCCTTATGGTGAAGGAGAGGGAATCAATATACTCCAAGAAAACAACTTGGCTACAGAGCCACAGGGGAAAAGATCACTGTCCCTCTTGCCTACTCCGCATACAGAAATAAATGATTTTCAGCCAAGAGTCAGGGGAAAGAGGGTGAGCAACGTTATCCAGCCTTGTGGTTAGGATACACAGGAGTGCAGGAGACCTGCATTTTGATCCCTTTCCAGTGTTTCACTCTTCTTGCTGTTGCAGTTTTATTTCATTTTTAATTAGAAAAAGAGAAAGGATATTCAGGGACTAGAATCTGCCACGGAATCTCCTGTACTGGAGACATCCAAGAGCAGGTTAGACAATTTCTTAGCATAAAACAATACAGCTGAAGTCCACATGCAGGGGAATAAAGCATAGAAAGAGGGGAATTAATCAGTTGGCCTCCAGAGGTCTGTTCTTGTCCTATGTTTTTCCTAGTGATTGAGGAAACAGTTCCTGAAAAAGGCCTTGCTACAATGACTCGTAGGAATGCTTTATTTCTCTGACTAATTCCTAGCTCAGTAATGTATATTTTCTAGCAGTAGTCAATTTCAGAGGTGAGGTTGTTTGAACAAGAAAAGCTGTTTTGCCTCCCTTGAGACATCTTGTTGGGACAATTTGTGCTTATCAAAGATACATAGAACTTGCAGCAGGAACTGGAAAAATCTAGTCTTGTGATGATAGACTTAATTAATGTGCCTTTGGACAGTGACCAAGGATTTATCTTTGGGAATTTTTTTTAATAGCAAGAAATATAAGTTCTTACTCTCCACATCAAAAGTTAAAAAAAAAAAATGAATTTCAACCAGCTCTGTTCCTTAAACCACAACAATAAATAATTGTCCATCCTTATGAACAAAGTATCACAATCTTGACATGCACCTCAGAGAAAATAAAGAACTCTGAACTACATAACTATTGACAAATCTCACTCACATTTATTATGTTTTTTAAACCTTCCACAAGAAATAATTTTTTACCTAAAAATTACCATCAGGTTTCTGGATACGTTATAATCTTCCACTGTGAGACACAAAGGATAAAGTTCTAAGAAAAGTTCCCCAGTATCACCCAGTTCCAACCCCCTTACTATAGGCAGGGATACCTCCAGCTAGACCAGATTGCCCAAAGCCCCAGCAACCATACTGTTGATTAGTTACTGCAAAACTGATAGAACAACAAAAAGGAAGCAAAAACTCATCATGAATGCTTGCAAGTTGCTAATTTAAAAGCTTTTCCTACAACCATAGTCCTTGAAGTAGAAATGACTTCCAGTCACTAATGTATAAACCATACTAATGAAATAAAATGTACAACTTAGAATTTCCCTAAGTGGTATGTACAGTTTCAGTTAAGAATTCCAGAAAGGTGTGAAAAAAATCAAAATGGAGAAGCAGATCAAAATTTGATATGAAAATATAGAATAACTAGTAAAATGAGTGAAATAAGCAATAAAAAATAAGAACAGAGAAACTCAAAATTAAGATTAAAATGTAAAAGTCTACCCAATAAAGACCAGGTGTGATCCATCATTTATATAGGTTTGAGGTTTTTTACTTGTTTAAAGTTTAAAAACTTCATGTTTCGCCACCAGTATAGGATTCAAAGTGGAATAATACAGTTTTCACAGCAGTCAAACTCTTCTTCATACAGTGGGAAAGAGAATATAAATAATGCAGGAACAAACAATACAACTTTTAAGTTCCAAACATAAGTATATTTTAAAAACAATCAAAGTATGAAAGCCACCTATGTAAGATTTATCATGTATACTGTACTTTGCTTTTTACTTTTTATATTCTAGCTCCATAAAATAAAAAGAGGAATTCTAAAGCAAAGTTCTGTGCCCTAAGGCAAAGTGATTAGGATTAAGTACATGAATGAGTGTTGCATGTTTTGAGGTTAATTACTTCCATTTACAAATTAATTAATGCATTTCTATTTTGTTTTTCAGAATAAAGGCTTATTCTTGAAAAGAACTGACTTATTTTCTTATTTCAGTGTTCTATAAATGCATTTTATGCTGATTTGTAAAAAACTGTTCATTTTCCTTATTAATTCATTTACATAAGGAACCACAGAGCACCTAAAAAAATGAACACCATGGAAGATAAAATGTAAATAATGTACCATGCCCTACTCAGGCAGAAATATCCTTGGTTTTCACACAGTGGTTTCTTTGAGTGCTAATGACTCTCCTATTTATTTCCACGAAAACTACAACAGATACAAAGAGCACAAGAACACTACTTGACAGAGCAAATCCTCAGCTACAAAACACTAGTTTTCAACAGTCACCACCATTAGCCATACATTTCCATCAGCCACAAACAAGAGCCTGCATACTGTGGCTGTAACAATCTTTCAACAGTGGAAGCAACCCACTGCCACTATTGCCACTGCTGAAATACCACCCACTGCCTCACTGTGCTCACATTCACTCTGTTTGATCTCCATAAACATTCAGCAAAGCGTCTATGAACATCAGTGGGTCCCATTTTTCCTGCATAGAGGAATCCAATGACACACCTTTGCTCCACCAGCACTCCTATGTCACATACCATTCTGTCAGCCTGCCCCTTTGCTGTCATCTCTCATCCAACAACAAAACGTAACATAATATTGGTGGGAAGGTTCAACCTCTACTGCCATACCATCAACATCTGCCTTTGATGTCATGGGCCAACATCATAAAACAGGAGGAATTACTTTTAGAACAGTCACCATAATAGTCTCTTTGTACTTGGAGTTTTATCCAACAGGTTATCAGTGGCCTTAAAATGATGGAAGCTGAAAAAGAAATAGATTTATAAATTTCAGGCCATGAAGAAACGCATACTTACAGGAATAATTGTTACGAAATTAAAGACTAGATCATAATAAAGCTGAAATGTTATTTATGCCAGAACAGGTATAGAATCAGTAGAAAGATTTCTCTGACGTAGTAGTCTTAGAATGTGAACAAAGTGTTCAATATAACTGCACCCAAAACAGTTACCTTACTCATATATAACATATTTAACAATTATCAGTGACTGGCAAGCACTGGCCCCCCAAAAATCAATACAGAATAAGACAGCTTTCAGAGCAGACATGCAGAAGCTTGGCATTTCTAATTTCTTCCAGCTATATTGCAGGGCAAAACAAGGGATGCTGAAAATGAAGCAACATGAGCAGCTTCTGACTTCCCAGAGCTGAGCAGTCAACCCAGCTCCCTTTGCACTATCTGCAGTCAAAGCCAGAGCACAGCTACCACCTATGCATGCACAGATGCTGTGTCCCTGGTCAGGGATGGCAAAGCAGCAGCACACTGAAATTCTCTTATATGCAACAGCCACAATCTCCACTCTTTGAGAACATTTGCCTCTGTGTGGCCAAAGGAGCTGATGTACCATTTTCTATTAGTTTGTCCACAACATAATTTCAATGAGCAAATAAAAATGCTAGCTCAGGAACTTGCAGTTTGACAGAAAAATAAGGTTAAATCACCTCTTAGCACCTTCAGAAGCATCACCGTCTCTAACAGTTTCCAGTCTCAAAGTACTTAAGACTTTCAGTGCATTTTGGGGTTCTTTGGGGAAGTGTTTTTTCCACTTACAACCAGCATATGATCAACAGTTGCAGTTCTGCCTCATCGAAATAAAATGGAACACTTCTTGGCTTTTCTGTGTCAATGCCAGAGCCTGGCACCCCAGAATTCACTGTTGGTGGATTTGTGGATTAATTCCTGCTCTTGAGCCTGACACCATAGAGACATAATACATTCTTAGCAAATTCACAAGCAATTCCCATTCCTGTCCCTGTTTTGCCTACTCTGTGACACACCTCACCATATCATCAAAACATCATATTTTCTAATGAGCGCAGCTGCCTTATGGAAATACAACACAACATACTATACCAAAGGGCTGTGAAATTTTCTTCCAAACCATGTTTACCCTTCTCTACAATATGCTCCAACAGCTTGGAATGGGAGAACCAGCATAAAACACAGACCTTAAGGCGGCATGAGATATCAAAAGTTTCAGACCTTTTACTAAGCTGATGTACATGTACAAAACACTTCATTTAACAGGCTTAGCAGAGCTGATTATATTTAGCCTCTACACCAATTCCTCTCAGTCACTCTCAGTTTCTGTTACCTCCACGTTACATGCTATTGTATAAAATCAAAGAGCTAAAAAGCCAGCATACAAAAAAATCTGAAAGCATACAACTTAACTGTTCCTAATATGTGCTGCACTATTTTGTTGAAAGACAAAGACCTTACAATCCAATTTTCCCTCTACACATGAAATACTTTTCTCCTAGTTTTTAACTCAGACACGTCAGACACAGAAGCTTTACAGCACCATTTCTTACATAGGTTTCATTAGTAAGTCTGAAGCTTCAAGGAGCAGAAGAATGTGTCTTATGCAGAGAGATGCCTATGGCATATATTTTTGTTTCTGATTGCCCATTACAGTAGAGCACAAGGCTGCTGCATCTTCTTTAAGGTCATGAAATGCTGGATTTTCACTGCTGATGCAATCAAATTAAAAGCCTCTAGCACCAACTGCTCTCTTGCACATGTGTAGAATGGATACGCACCTTCCATTAAGTCCATTTAGCAGTATAGCATGTTCCCATGCAGAGTAAGCAGTCATCGGATTTCCCTGATGAAACTTTCTTTCCCTTCTAGGAAAAATATAAAAATACATATATATACTTAAAAAAAGAAATCACATATCAAAAATATCCACCAGAATCAGGATAGGGCTCGTCAGTGGAAAAGATATCCCAGCTTGCTTTATTGCCTCCTATACAACACAAGCCACAGAGTCTGGATGTGCCAGATTACCTAAGACTTTCAAAGGTTATACAAGTCTTCAGTCTCAACCGTTAACTGTTCTAACAGTCACACACATAAGATAAGCAGTTGTTCCTGCAGACTAAAGAGCTGAGCTGCATGGGAAGAAGGTTTCTCCCACAGCTCTGCAGCTCCATAGCTCAAACTTCCCCAGCAACACCTGGTTCCTTGGACTGAATCAACTGCTCATTGCAATGGAAGAGCTCAGCCCCTCTGTGCCAATAGACATGCATGGCAATGGAAACCCTCTGCTTCATCCACCTCAGAGGCTGGCTGTGGACAGGAGACCGTACCTGTGGGTACAGCAAAATACCAGGCAAAAGCTGCCTCAGCTCAAAGGTCAAGAGGGCTGTGTTGTCATTACTGTTATGATACCACTTATCTGATGAACCAGATCTCCTAGGCACTTACAGAAGACAGACACTAGAGAATCAGTATTTTGCTATCATAGTTTACTTGCTCCAGGGAGCTGTTTTTAAATGACAAAGGCTCCCTCCCAGTCAAACAGGTGATGCGTGTTGCTTACACAGAACTCTTGCCCAATGCCTTCTACCATTCACAAGCAATTTGTGCTTTCAGAAGACAGGCAGAAAAGAAGAAATCAGAATGAAGACAGAAGCTCTGGAAGCAATAGGTTACCACTAATGCACATCAGAAAAATATCCCTGGTTGTGTTACCCATGTGAAGAACCTTGAGTGATGAATCCCAAACCACCTAACCCAGAGTATCTTCTGCATCAGTTCTAGTTCTCCTGGTTCTAAGATCCAGAGTGCAGAGATAGAAGCGACTAAACTTATTCAGAAGAATGGGAGAAAAAAAGAATTTAAAACAGTGAAGATATTAAAAACAGAGGGGGATGGGTGGATTGAGGAGGTTCTGCTAAAAACTATTGCAACAGAAGGTAAAGTAGGTGAAAAAAAGGCTCCAGTGTCTGTGAAGTTATAAATTAGATTTCTTCCAAAAGAAACAAATCCACATGCAGCACAACCACCCTGAAAACTGAGTCCATGAAGATAAATTCATTGAGGGTGGCTTCAGAAAAGCATTACTCGTCCAAACCAGACTGCTAATGTACACACTGCCCCAGAGACTGAGATCAATATTCAGCTACTGTTTACTTAAAGCGTTGATACCTAAACACAGAGGAAATACAGTACAAGTGTTTGAGAGGAGTACATGGTGATGATGCAACCTCTAAACAATTAACTCCAATTTGATAATTTCATGGCAATTAATTCCCTAATTGCAAAAGGAAACGTTACAGTCTTCTAATCATGACTAAATACAGGAACATCTCTCCATTGTGCATTACTAAAGTGGGTCTAATAACAACAACCTTGAATTACATAAATACAGATCTCATCTTTGGAAACAGACCCTCCTTGTAAAGCTAAAACTACTTCAGTAAGCAAGACTGAAAATCATTTGTGTATCCAAACAGAACACCCAGCTTGCACTGAACTGAGATCATTTTATTGTTGAAACAAAATTACAGGTATGAGTTAAGTGCTGGCACAATGTCACTCAAATTTTTTAATCAAAAAAATCCATGAATGGAGATACAAAAAAAAAAAATGCAATAAACTCTTCTCCCAAAGGAAGAGTTTAAGGTTGTATGAACAAGTATAGGCACTGATGATAGATTAATTACCCAACAAATTCCAGATCTAGGTACCATGTCCTTTAAATATCTTCAAGTATTTACAAACTTCCTGCAAAACTTACAGCGGCAAAGACCAATCATAAAAAAAATTAAACATCATCATAACAAGAGCTTGGGATGAGGACATAGCCAGTCTAATTTGTTTACCTGAACTCAGGGCACCTTCAAAGAAAATTAGTTAATATTTTAAGAACAATTATCACAATTCTCAGTTTACACTGTGTTTACAAGAAAATGATGTATGTTTGTAGTCAAGGCATTGTGTGTGAGAGCAACAGTGAGAGCTCTCTAGATCACACATAGCAATTAAGAACATACCTAGATGAGTACGACTGTGCTCTTCAGGATTTCATATCGTAGAGTCTGACTACCAGAAAAACTGGCCCCTGGGATATGAGCTATTCCTGATGCCACCTGTACAAACTTATCAGACACTCCAAGACATGATGCTCTGGACATGAGCCTTCTACACCCTTGCACATACAATGAAAAATTATATTGGGATTTTTCACTGTAGTGTAACAGCAATTAAGCACTTCTATTACATGAAGCACATAAAATATGAAGTATTTCCCTTTTGGCTCTAGCCAACTAATTTCACAACAGTACATGCAATTTCTAAATCCTTTGCAGGTGACAGTGAAATGATTATTTATAATAGTTCCTGTTACTGGATGACATACTCAGCAGGCAAAGTATCAGATAGCAGTTTTGAGGAGGCTCTTCTAATGACAGCAACAAGGAACAGAGAAACAGGGAAGCTGACCATCCACCTGTTGCTATGAGTAACCTATAAGACCTACATTATCTGGAACTGGCTCCAAAAAAAAAAAAAAAAACGGTCTTTGAGGAACCTTCCCAGACATCCCACAATCTATGTCCCTTCCTAGAAGGTCATGATGCAGGGAACCTGCTTTAGAGGGGGGGTTGGACTTGATGGTCCCCAGAAGTCCATTCCAATCCCTGTAATACCGTGCAAGTCTGGGTGACCATTCCTCCATGCAGAAGTCTCTCAGAGATTTATCTTGCACTTAAGCTATCACATCAACACTAGATATGAAGCCAGTACAATAAACGTGTAAAACAAAAAAAAATTGAACTGAAAAAGAAATCAAGTACCATGGCAAACAGCAGGAGTGAAGACAGCTGAAGGTGTTATAGATTACCATAACAAAATTCCCTGTTAAAATAAAATGATACAATTAAATCCACATCAATAAAACAGCATCTGTTCATATTAGAAAGAGTGCCATGTATTTCGTTTCCTTTTTCCGAAGGCTAGGAGAAGAAAACGTCTCCTTGGAAGAGTCACTGCAGAACAGCAGATTTACCATATACATACAAATAGAGAATTGTTTTGTTGAAGACAACAACCACATGAAGGTCAAACGCTTTTAATCAACTTATTTGCAAACATAAAGGCAAAATGTCAACAATTCTGTGATTCTGTGAATTTCTAACCTTCCCAGAGTGTTTCTCAGCAAAGGCCTAGGAGTAATATTTTTTCATGACTAATAGAAAAGTCTGTCCCTTGGCCTCACTGGTTTGAGGTCTGGCAACATCAAATTGCTGCTCATTCTCATTCTTTTCATTTCTCTGTTCTCCTCTGTTCATTTATCCCTGATATGATCTCTGATATGTAGCAGCAACACGTGGCATCTCATAGCTCTGCCAGGAGCTATGAGGTCTGATGTAATGATGCCAAATTTGGGAGCAGGAGGCTAGAAAGTAAAATAAAAGTTTGGAACTATTTTACTTCCCCACAGTTTGGAAAAGTATATTTTACAAAAGAATATAAAGTGTTTCTCAGAAGAGTAAACAAATGTAAATATCAGCCTTTATTATCAACAAAATCAATATCATCCTGCAAAGTAGAAAGCCTTCTGATTATGTGTGTATCTGTTCCTTAAACAAATGAATTGCACTATTCAGCCGTAGCTGCTCTGAAAGACCACACAGATCTTACCAGCAGTTAGAGTCTATCAAAGGCAGAAGGACATCTGGAAGTGTTTGTATGTTCCACAAGACAGGAAATCATGTTCTGTAGCCTCCAGCAAAAGAGAAACACTGACAAACCAGGAGACAAGCAGGGGTGGGACAAAGGACCAAAAGACTGGGTTATATTCAGACTGCAAAGGCTTCAGGCTGATCTAGTCACTATATGCCTCCACAGAGGGGGAGCAGGAGAGGGGAACAGAGAAAACAACTCTTTTCATAAGTATACTGCCAAAGGACAAAATTTTAGGCTACAGGTTGTAGTAAGGGAAATTCTGACTAAATGCAAGTAAAATATATGATGAAAGTGCATAACAGCTTGAACAGCTGTCCAGAGAAGCCAAAGAACAGACTGCCTCCATTCTTCAAAGGAATCAAAATGTACCTGTGTAAAACAAACTTTGAAATTACAATGCTTTTTAGCAGAGTTTGATTACACAATCTCCAGGGCTTCCCTCCCAACCTAAACTAACACAATCATTCAAAGAGCAGAGTCATAATGATACCAGAGTATGACTGTAAATCAGTGTGCTGCACTGGTGAATTCATCCTGCCTCTTACTTTCTATCTAAAATCATTACTATTATGTCTACATAGTAGACGTTAGATATAATTCATAATGCTTTCATGATAGCTTCCTGCAAGGAAGGATAACAGTGTAACCTATGATGAATTCATATTGCTGTGAAAAAACAGAGCTGTATGCAGTTTTTCATTCAAAAATAAAAAAAGTCAAACTTTTGGAAGCAACAAGGGGAAAAAATGGAAACTACTCTATCTTAGGTCAGAAGTCCATGCTATATGGCCTTTGCATACAAACTGCTGTAATGAACAGCAACTTGGATAAATCAGTGGATTTCAGGGTAGGAAAGATGTAAAAAAAAAAAAAAAAAAAAAAAAAAAAAAAAACACACCTTAAAGGTCAAGGCCTGAATGCAGAGTCTGCAGAAAGTTGGGGATTCTGTGAAAGAGTCGTGAACAAGCAGCTCAGCAGTACAAATGGCAAGTGGTTCATTCCAGCTTGCACAGACCACACTAAAAAAAAAGGAAAAAGGAAAAAAAAGGAAAAAGCAGAAGCTGTGCCTGTTTTACGCTATTCCCAAAAGAATGCTTCATTCACTGATGTGTTGGAAGCTTTCAGATGGCTGTCCATTCGCTTTTCCTAATGAAGCAGATCCGCTTTGTATAAATATTTAAGCAGTATCAGATGGAGACAGTGTAGGTACAACTTTCTAAAGCTAGCAGCCAGAATGCTCCCTGGAAAAGGAGAACTTGGACTCTGGTTACATTCCGAGGAAATATTTATATGTATTAAAACAACGTCAATAGAATTTGAAAACACACTACAGTCTTGCCTCTCTGGAGATCAGTTAATTCATTTTTTCTTGGGAGAAGAAACAAAAGTTTTATAGCCCTTTCAGACAGAGGAAGACCTAAATCTGTGCTTTTCACATTTTGGATCAATACTCCAAGACTTGTGCTCTTGAATTAGAAGAATGTTAGTGTTATCACCTCCCATTCCTAGTAGTGAGCATCTGTTCCTGTATTTTTTTCCTGAAGTGTCTGCAAAGCAGTACCAAGCATAAATCCAGATATCATATGCAAGCAACATGTGCAGAAGCACATTAGGACTTCTCCTATAAAAACTGTTTTTCCTTACCAGCACAGTATCAAAAGCACTACATTTTTTCTACAGCTGTTACCCACTTCTTTCATTTTCTTGAACTCTGCCATATGTAGGAAGATAAATTATGTATTGATTTTTTTTTTTTTTAATAGCCTCATGAACAAAGGCAGAGAAGTGGAAGATGGGGCTTTTGGGAGAGAATGGACAACACCAGAGTATGTTGAATCATGGCTCTCTTCTGGGTGGTTTTTCTTTGAGTTAACAGACTTATCACCACAGCAGCACACTTCCAGAATGTACATTCTCCTCACACTGGGGCAAAGGATAGCCATATGCATCTATCACTATAGTTTTTCCACCAACAGTCTAGCACAGCTAATGGTCCTTTTTTGCCTCTGTCCCTCTCCCATTGCTCCTTCATGTGCTTTATGAGAGCATACCAGGCTGTGTTGGTGCTTTGAGACTACTCCTGTACACAGTATCATTAACAAGCCCATAACACCCATCCCACTATCAGAACTGTCCCCAGGTCATGCATCACCACATATGCAATTTCTGCCTTAGAAGAGCAATCACTTTACCATAATTCAGTGTGCTGTTCACAATAATAACTGCAATAACTGTTACTTCTCTATTGAACACTTCAAATCCTTCAGCTACAAATGGAAGTTTCCAGCATTCAGCAGTCAAGCAATATTCGGTCTCTCTCTCTTCAAACATTTTGTGACAGTGAGTTAATTAAGCTCAGTTAACTAATACCACGAAGATAGTTCCCTCAAGCTTTTTTATTTCTTATTTTTCCTTAGTACTTTCCAAATTCCTCAGGCAAACTAGAGAGCAACAGTGCTGGAGGCTTTAGGAACAAAGCCAAATTGTTTGTCAGGCAATACTACCACAAAAGAGCAACCAACATTTTTAAGCTTTGCTTCAAAAACATACTACCACTCTCAACCCCAGTCCTTGATCTAAATAGTTGTGCTTATCCCAGTGGGAATATTCCATTTCTTGTCAACAGCTAAATATTAAAAACTTGCTTCACCTTGAAAAGTAAAATAAGAGCCCAAATGTTTTACAAGACACATTGTATATATATAAATCAATATACACCCTTAGGTTTTGAGAAAGCAGCATAGCCTATTATAATTTTCACTGAAAATAATGCTGCATACGATGTTTGGATAATTTTGTTTTTCTAGTTCCTCATGCACCTATATAAAAAACGTACTTGAGCAAAACTATAATCCTCCTATTAAAAAAAAAAAAAAAAAAAAAAAGAATCCTTTTTAGATGCAGAGGTACAATTGGGTAACCAGAAGTTAACCCCAAATTTGGTTTGGCTTGTTTTTAATCTCTATTTAAGTTCTGGGTGTTGTTTTGTTGTTGTTCCGCTTTTTGTTGTTATTATTATTATTATTATTATTATTTAAGTCTCAGATGTTTGAATTTTTCCCCAAAATTTAAGATTGTTACAACCAAATCCACTTTATAAAAATCCACAGCAGTGTTCTGGTGGAGAAAGGCAAACGTTCACATTTTGCATACCTCCATTTTCATGCCATCAACTAGGAGATAGGCAGATGCTTTTCCCTCCCCTCTGTGAAGAGAATGGCAACTATGTATCATCTTCTCCCTCCAGAAGATGACTCCACACAACGGCCTAGACAGACCTTTCCACTCACCACATTCTACAGTTGATGCCTATTTTCAATGGGTCAGTAAAAGAGGGACCTCCAGCAGCATCTGCATCTGAAACATTGAGATTTGTTCTGGCCTTCTGTCCAGGCAGACTGATCCATATCTCGACAGTGCTCCATAACTGCTGAGTTAGGACAGTCTGGATGTGATGTTCTCTGCACCATAGCACCCCGGGTGCTACCCAGACTAGAGCAATTAAGTTACCTGGTGGTGCAAAACAGCAGAGAACATGTCCAGCCAAGTATGGAGGAAAAAAAAAAACAGTTTCTCAGTGACATTCATCAAATTCATTGTCTGATAAACGTACAAGAAGAGAATACCTAAGTAGTTGCTCCCAAGTAACTTCAACCATTAAAAACATTCACAAGCAGCTGTCAGAAAATTACAGATAAGCACAGAGAATGGTGGAAACATCCAAAGTAGGGAGATGAGTGTGAAACATCAACATACTAAAATGGAACAGGAGAAATATCAGAGAAAACAAATACAGGAACTAAAGATAAATACTTTCATATTCTCAAGAACATGGAAGAATATCCCTTCACTTTTTAACTGAGAAAAAATTTGGCAACTGCTGGAGGACTTCAGAAAGAAAATTCTGTTTCACTTGTTCACTTGCACTTCAGTCACCAACTGTAAGTTTAATACTTAATACCAACACCAAAGTTATGCTTTCTAACACAAGGATAGTTAACAGTCTGGGATAAGAATTTTCATGTGTGAATGAGATTGGAACCTCAAACTTCTTACTCTTTGTTGATCTTACTCTCACAAAAAATAGCACCAAATGCTAAGCAATCAACAGTTTGCTCTTACGCACAGTTTGAGGCGTGCATAGCTGATGCATATGCATCACATGTTCAAGTAGATCTTTACTCAGGCCCAAGCTACGAAAGGGATAGCACAGTGCTGTGCAGAGAAGAACACTCCTAGAGCAGAAAGAGCTGTTATGTATAATGACGTCATCAGATTTCCAGACTTCATAATTTCACTACCTAAATCAGTAAGGAGGAAGTAGCCCAAAAGTCATGTCATGCATGGGGGAAAAGAAAGAACTAAGCCGTGATAAGTGGCACTGTTTGCTAGGGTTGGCAAATGCTAAGGAATAAAAATTGAAGAGACACTGAAGAAAACCTTGCAACCCTTATGTCAAAGAGTGGCTATGATCCACTGCACTGTATTGAGAAAAAAATATAATACAAGTGTGCGTAATTTCAAGTGTCTAGTGAAAAATACTAGCAACCTAAAAGTTATTTGCTTGTGTCATTTTCCATGAGTTGTGCTACATCTAATTGCTCTTAAACAAATGAATCAAGACATTCTCTTGGGTATTCTGCATCCTCCTCAGTATTTAACTCAGGCCTCTCCTCACCTGCATTTGAAAGATGAAATAAAGGTAAGAGATTTGTATTTCTTTTCTGTAGTTTGTCTTGTTATGCAGCTGAGAGTGAATGAGCTTTGTAGGTACAGTAAGCAGGCAGAACAGAACTGCACAGCACCCTCAACTGCTGCTGAAATCATCAGAACTTCAGGAATACTGTGTGTTTGAGAAATGGTTTATCCTTCATCAAGAACCTAATAATAGCAAAGCTTATTTAGTCTGGACTTATTTCTGGAGGACAACACCAGGCACACTGTGCCAGACAGGCATAGCCAAAAGCTACAAAAATCTTTCAAGATGATCAGAGTTCAGATGCATCCCTGAACCCCTTTAGCAAATATGGGCAGCAAACACTGAATGCTGCAAATGAGCAGGCCTATCTGAGGTTCCCCATGAGAAAAGTCTTCGTGTTTGTATGTTGCATGCATCTAGCTAACTAAAATGAGTGTGGAACATCTGACATCTGAGGATGATGCAATGAATATGCATCAAGAGCACTTTAAAGCTCGTATTTTTTCAATCTCCCGTTAAGTACTGTCACCAGAAGGTGTTGGGCAGTTCATAGCAATCATAGTACAGGAGTTAAAAGGCTGGTTGTACAGCTATAGGCAACTATTTAAGGAAAGGTCCTCATTTTAGACTCCTCATTTATCCTTTCCTTATTTAAGGAAAGGTCCTCATTGTAGAGAAGAACTGTAGTTAGTACTGAAAAAAATGTGACAATCAAAGAACGTGAGTAACTCAAGAGGGAGGTCTAAAATGCAAAAACATTACCTTGACCTTTTTCAGCTAGTTCTCTTGGGTTTGGATTCCATCCATTTCCTGGCACAGGGATTAACTGAGAAGCAGCAACAGAAAACTCAGTGGATTCCCTGGACAACACAAGCAGCTAGTATGTAGCTCAGGACTGGAATGCAGCTGTCAAACAAAACCACAAGGATACTCTGTAGAGACAGACAATGCAGAACCTGGCAACAAGTTCAAAAAATTCTGAAGAGAAAGGCAGCAGCAAGTTAGTCAATTGAGACCATCATCAGCAAATATTGTTGATGAAGCGGAGAAGAAATTAAGAAGAGCTGAAATGGCACAATACTCCACCTATCTTATGGGTATTGTGCACAGTGGAAGAACGGAAATAGTCATACTCTGTACACTGCAAGTTGTGCAAGAGTTGTATAGTAAATCCACAGTTCAAGGTACTGTGGTAAGGTACTAAAGGTAAGGAGCACCATTAGAATTGCAAATAAAATAGAGTATACAAAAAATCTCGTTTAAATTATAATAAAATAATAATTATAATTTTAAAAATAATTACAAACAATTATAATTAAATAACTATTTTAAATCAGTAGGCCCAGATGTGGGAAATCCTAATATTGCACATTCCAGTGTATTAGAATATATGCAGAGGATATTGCATTTGAAATCTCTGCAGCTTTGAATTTTAACAAAATATAACCTGAACATCATTTCTGCTCATCTCTTGTTTCTTGACGTCCAGTTTCCCCTTATTCATGCATTCCTGTTATTTCTAATTTCTCCAGAGCATTTCAGGGAAAAAAAGACCTCAGTATAGAAATGTGTATTGTCTCATTTCTTAAATTAAAATCCCAGATAGTTAGATCTAGTGGCTCATTATCACTCCTCTATCCTAGTGTCCTTGTCATATCAGTCCTTTGTCCCTGATTGGCTTCAGCAACATCCCATATTTTCCTGCATTAGAATTTAGATTAGAATTAAGAAGTATGATTAATATGTAGAGCAAATGCATTTTGCAGTACACATCAGAATATTCTGAAAACGCATTAATACCCTCTGTGAAATGTTTGATCAATTATTGTTTAATATAGAATTTTTGAATTCACCTTTGTGTCATAACTGAAGACAGCTTTATCAGAAAAGTTGATATTGGTTGTTTTTACAAGGGTAGATCTACAAAAGGCTGTACTGGAAAGACAACTTCTGCCAGGGAGCAGCAAGAGCCAATGCCTCCCTATTGGAATGGGATCCAGTAGGACCAGGCAGCCAAGCCCTATCCTCCTGGCCCAGCCAGGTACCAGGCAGCCTGGGGACCAAGACAGCCCCAGCTCTGGATATTAGGTACCTCTCACAGATAGGCCAAGGCTAGACCCATGACCAGGCAGAGTAGGGCTGCGAGGAGCTGGAGATCAGCCTTGCTGTATAATCCCTAGGGCACTAACTGGTGGTTCCAGAGGGTGGGCAGGCACAGTTAAAGCTAGCAGTGCCCCCAGGGCCATGACAACTTGCAAAACACCATCAGAGAGATCTGGAAAGACTACAAAAGCTTTTGTTTAGAATATCTGGATTTCACAGTTGCCTAACAAAACTTTACCTGCTACTTATAAACCCTGTAACATCTAGTTAAAGGTCATCACATATTTTAGTTTCCCAAAATAAGAAGTGCATTGATTTACAATGGTTTCACTGGAAGGCAATGCCTCATTGGAGACTAGAAGCAAAAAAATAGCTATAAAGCTGAGCAAGGAGTATGTGGGCCTGCTTCTGAGTGAGGCATGTGATTTAGCAATAGCAGACACAGATAGAGCTAAAGCATTTAAAAGTCCTCTTGGTCTGACCAAGATCCCCCACACCCCAGCAATCAGTGAAACGGGTCATTGGTATCTATCCAGCAATGCATGAGGTCTCAGTTATAATTCAACCTATACAAGTCTATGGGATTCAACAGACATCATCCAAGAGCATGAGAGCTGACCAATATTCTTAGAAGGCTCTATTATCACAGAAATCATCTCACAGAGATCAGTTAGCCTGATAAAAGCAGAGAAAGACAAATATTTTATCAATCTTTAGAAAATGACAAGAGGTAAATCCAGGGAACTTGAAGCCCCACACTGATTGCTGGAAAAAAATAAAATAAAATCAAAGAACAAGCCATCTTCAGGATGTTTCTGGATAGATGAAGTAGTTAAAGGTGAGTGAGAAAAGCCATTACAGACATACAAATATAAATTGTCTTCTAGGATAAAATGACTAGGTTTGTGGATGTTATTTGCCTTTGACTGTATAAATACATTTAACTCTGGATTCTGCTGAACTACTCTGGTACACACAGTACTTCTCATGTTTCCCTGGCCCTACCCAGTGCAGGCAGACAAGGACCAGTGAGACATGCTAGTAGCAGTGGAGATGAGTGGTGCAGATACATGTTCTTCCAAGGTTGTCCATGTGGAGCCTGGTGCTGTGTTGTAGTGGAGCAGGAGATGGCCCAGCTGCTGAGGGGCAGGAGCACATCTTCAGCACACCTTGAGACAGAGACTGACCGCAACATCTCTTCCTCTTGCAGTGTGCAGCAGCAGCTGCAGCACTGGTGAAGGAAAGGAAATGTCACCTTCCACTTTCTCCACCTGCAGCAGTGAGACAACCATGTGCAGCTGTTGTTGAGAGATGGGTGCACGGTTGGGCTGCTCAGCAAGGTACAGCCACTGCCATGACACAGGGCAGGGGGAGGCTGCAGGACAGGCTGGACATGCCTGACTAGAGGAAAGTGATGATTTGCAAGATTGCTGTCATCAAGTAAGGAGAAACACTCGAGGTGCCTAAGAGCAGGACTGCTGTCAAAATGACAGACCAGTGGGAACCTTATTAAATTCAACAAGGATTAATCTGAAGTCCTGCAGCAGGGAAGGAATAAGCCCTTACAAAAACAGATGCAGAGTAATGACGACTAGGCAACAGCTCTATGGAAAAGTAAAAATCATGATCAAATCACAAAATCACAAAACTGTTGAGATTGAAAAGGATCTCTCAAGATGCTGATCTTCCCTGCTCAAGTTGGGTCAATTACATTAGGTTGACCAGGAAAAGCAACATATACAGGAATTTTTCATTTGCTCTGATATTAAAGAGAAGTTCCCTCTTTTCTGGGAACCCTTGTTTAAAGAAAAAAAAAAAAAAAAAACAATGTGGCACTTCCTCAGAGGTGAGAAACTCAATCCATCTTCTGTCCGCTGATAAGTAGTGAGAATACAGATTCCTAACACAAAATTAGTAAAGTCCTGGCACCATGCAATGAATGAATGAAGCAAAGACATTTCTTATGAAAATAAGATGGCACTGATTTACAGTGTCCAAACAATCTTCCGGGGGATTACTTTATTTGAACTCATTTAAATCTGACTGCAAGTCATATAGCTAGAGTTAAGAACAAAATTCTTAACCAATCAATCAAAAATAGTGCTATGGACCTCTAATTTGAAATTATCAAATGCTATAGCAGCAAATTAGATCTTGAAACTGAAATATTATCTAGGACTGAATGATAGCCCCTCTTGACATAGGAGAAAATAAGAATGCAATAAGGTAAGAAACCACCACAATATGGTGGCAGAGCTACGGAGCTTTCCTAAATTGATTTAGAAAAGTAAATTTTAAATACATTAAAGAAACAGTATTTCTCTCTCTCTCAAAAGAAATTACACTTTTTCAAATGCACAACTTATTTACAGATTAACTTTTGATTTTACAGTTTCCAGTCAATACTTCATCCAAAAGATAAAATTACATGTATTTTTAAATATCTGGAGGTTTATTAGCTTATTTTCATAACATAGGAGCTATAAAATTAAGACTTCAATGTATTCTACCTTGTAATCTAATGTTTAAGTGAATTACAAAAACAGAGTTTCATCATACTGCTAGGATCCTCTGCCCAGATAGCTACATTTCCTAAGGTTTCACCACATTCCTAGAAAAATCTTACCTTAGCCAAAACAAAGACATTTTTTCTTAGTTTTATAGTGAGAGTTATTTCTCTCTTCCTCATTAGAATGGAAGTTACCTGTATCAATACAGCAGGTTATCTCTGCTTGTTCCCTCCAGAGAAGAAATATCTCTGCTACTGCCAATAGAACATTGCCTTTGTCTCAAAGAAAAACATCCTTTCTCCACCAACTCACATTAAGATGAAATTGAATCAATATTCAAGAACACGAAGGACAAGAAGTTTATCAGGAACAGTCAGCAGGGACTTACCAGAGGCAAGTCATGTGTGACCAATCTAATTGCTTTCTACGATGAAAGAACTAGCTGTACAGACAAGAGAATAGTGCATATCAGGTCAAGGGAGTTATCACACTGGAGGGGCCCTACCTGAGAAAACTGTGCAGTTTGGGGCTCTGCACTTTGTGAAGGATGCTGAGAAGTTGGAGAGTCCATTAGAAGACTGCCCAGTAGACAGTCAGCACTTAATTCTTTAGGAAATGTTAAGGGAGTTCAGTTTGTTTAATCTGGTAAAGATTTAATCCAAGAGTAGGCCTAATAGCAGCCTACAGCTACTTGAAAGTTACTTACAATGACATTGGAGCTAAATTCTTTTCAGATATGGCAGATGGCAAACAGGGAGAAGTTGCACTTTGGAAGACTGATGGACATCAAGAAAAAATTATTCACAAGAAAGATTGGTTAGCACTAGAATACATTATTCACATGTGTAGAATTGCCATTCTTAGAGATTTTCAAGACTGACAAAAACAACAGCTGACTCTCTCAAGTTTATGGCAATTCTGATTCTAGCGGAAGAATGGACTAGATAGCCTCCAGGGGTCACTTCCAAACTGCATTTTTATCATTCTATGAAAATCTGTGAGGTAAACAACACTGGCCATTGTAACTTGCTTTTCACAGTTAATGCTTAGAGCTATGAAATGCACTCGTTCATGAAGCATCCTGGAAAAAAGTTAACAACATTTGGGAAAGAACCAAAACAAGACCTCCCTTCACATTACCTACACAAAGAAACAACGTCAATGGTGTAAGGGCAATATTTTGCCTAGTTCAAAATTGAGTGTGTGTGCTAAATTAAAAAAATCAATGTTGAAAGGCAGTTTTTAACAAGAACGTGGTCTAGATTTTCATCAGAAAACAGCTTAAAATGCCAC